TCTAATATAAAAAGAAAAATGATTAGGGTAGAGTGGCCGAGAAGTGTCGATATCGACTCGTGTTCGACATGTGTCGGATACAGACACGCTACCCTAATTGAAATGTCCATGCTACAGAGATACACAATAATTGCTTGTGTATCTCTCAAAAAAAAAAAAAAGGCAATGCAGGACAATCTTTTGCACTGCAAGTTGAACCAACTCATCTAAAAAGCTTAAATTAATAAAAATAAATAAATCCATCCTAGACTTGTAGATGAAGTCATTCAACATGGAATCAAACACAGTATATATTTGGATTCAACTCTCTTCACCACCCATTTATAAATGTAAGTACTGTCAACTCTTTGGCGACACGTGACAAGGCTTGTCTACGACTAAGGATAAATGAACAACCTTTTCCACATCTATCGGCTTAAATTTTTAAGCAAAGTGGTTCAATGGAAATTAAACATGTACTGCAACACTTGCCAAGAATTCTTAGAGGATTTGATCCTATGGCAAATTATCAGCACAGGTCATTCTCAAATATTTTTAAATAAAGTAGGATGCCAAAGGAAATTTTGGAAGTTATTTCCTTAGGTGTATTTACGCCTCAAAAGTGAAGGAAATAGGTGCAACACTAAGCTTTGGCCAACAGACATTGTTTAGAGAATATATTTTCAGTGTTGCATCTTGATTATCGCCTTACGTGAAACTTTCATTAAACCCCTCAAGTGCCATTTGTGAAGCTTACTCCTCAAGGCTAAGCCTTTAGTCGATAATGCCGGCAACGAATGACAAGAAATTAAAGTTAACGACGAGGATGATAGACAATCAAATAAAGTTAACATTCTCTTAAAGATCCAGTTAGTAGTGATGATATAGAAGAATTATGTGTTGTTTTTAATTGGTAGGTTACAATTTTGTCACATGATTACTATTTTAAGAACTTATAATTTGTTATTTTACTGGTCTACTTTATGTTTGTTTGCAAGCTAAACTTTTACTCTGATCAATTTGTTTTGTTATGGATTTTTTAAATTGATTTTAGGTTTATTATGATCATATTTTAGTAAGTTGATGGGCTTATTTGGGATAGCTTCTACTATTATTATTATTTTTTTTTTTTTTTTTGTAGAAGAGCTTCTTAGAAAACGACTAAAAGCTTTTCTAGCCATACGAATCACTTTCAAAAATTTATCAAACCAACTGTATATATATATATGTTTTATAGAATGTAGAGTGCAAATGG